AAACAGAGACAATTTAGTATGTACACTAAATGAAGAAAACTCTTATACTATTTGAAGAAAGAGAGAGAGAGAGAGAGAGAGAGAATCGTCACACGGATAGGCTGCGGATGTTTGTGCAATTTCGTTTTTTTTTTTTTTTTTTTACGAAGTCGAGCCGAGAACTTTGTACCTTCGTGCACCTGAATTCTCCATTTTCCATTTTCCACACACGCACGCACGCACGCACACGTGACAGAGAACGTTCGTTCGATTTCATCGTCGATCATCCCATTCGATCAAAATTCATCCGCGTGCTCTGCGTCAAGCTGTGCACTGTGTCTAGCTGTGTATCTGCCCTCGGTATCTTTTACACACGTAAAAAATGTCTTTGTCGTAATGTGGATTACGTTGCGGAAGCCACGTGGACGCGCGAGCACGCGGCGATTGTTCGCCTAACTTTGAACGTTGTATGACGAAGGAATAAACACATGTGACTTAACATTCTGTGAGTTTTCTGTTACTTGTCCTACGTACTTGTCTCGTTGTGGAATTATTATTGTTTATAATATTGTTGTTATTATTAATATTCTACGGAATATATTATGGTTGGATTATACATTAATATTTCAATGATTTTTCGTCGAGAAATTGTACGCTATAATTACTACAATATCTTCTATTCTTCGTGTTCTAATTATTATAATGTTTTAGGATTCGTCGCGGTAACTCTGAAATTCCAAATTCTTTGTATTTTTTCCCAATTTTTAAAATTATTATTTATGATACATGATTAATATCTCGTGGAAAGTAATTCATAATTTTATAATATTTTAAGATTCGATTCGAACTGTCAGAATTTCCATAGTTGTGAAATTCCAAATTCTTCGTATCTTCCAATCTTTAAAATTATTATTTATGACACGTGATTAATATCACACGGAAATTAATTCAGCAGTATATTTATAATATTTATAATGTTTTATAATATTTTAACATTCGATTCGAACTGTCAGAATTTCCATAGTTGTGAAATTCCAAATTCTTCGTATCTTCCAATCTTTAAAATTATTATTTATGACACGTGATTAATATCACACGGAAATTAATTCAGCAGTATATTTATAATATTTATAATGTTTTATAATATTTTAACATTCGATTCGAACTGTCAGAATTTCCATAGATGTGAAATTCCAAATTCTTCGTATCTTCCAATCTTTAAAATTATTATTTATG